GTACGGGATTTCCCAAATCGAGATTCCACGAAATCAATGCTGCGATAGGAGATCGAGAAAATACACCAGTAGAATGTTCGATCCCCTGTGGAGTGATCGAGAACATACACCAGTAGGGTGTTCGATCCTTCCGTGCAGAATTGAGTGGTCGTCTCGATCGTTTAAACGATTGAGACACAAGAAAGTTGACAAATTACATTTCGATTTTCTTGTGATTACCACCAAGCTGAGGAGACACCTAAAGGAGGCACCTACGTGATGTACCTCCAGGTGGGTCCACTGTAGTCGGGTCGGCGTCCGCTGAGGACACCTGACTTTTTCGGTCTTCGAGTCCTTACTCCTACAACGTGCTGTCGGGCTTCGTAGTGCAATCCCCGACTAATAAGTCGTCTGTTGGAACGTCTAAGAGTAGGCGCAGATCGACGGTTGGGCTGTTGCACTGTGCTGCGTTTCGACGCATAGACTCAGTGGACAGACTCACGGGAAAAGTGTATTTGGAGCCTAGAATCTCCATTTGCAACCTCGTCCAGTAGGTAATCGACTGCACTCGACATAGATAAGGAATTAATTCTTTATCTACGCCAAATAAAATACAGTCCGCTAGCGAGTTCGTATATTACGAGCAAGCGAAATTCCCCGCCCCTGTACGTACGAATAACGAAGCCAGGAGCGTGAGGAAACAAGCGCGGCATAGATACGTATAACATGTTCACGTGTGTCGTACACATAGCCATGATTTTCTGATTATAGGAATCCTGGTCTACCTCAACCCGGCGAGTTCGACAACCACGCCAGGTACAGGTAACGACGAGGACGATAATTTTTCGAGCTTCGTCACTTTCCCATTTTTTATTTTTATTTTTCATTTATATTTATACTTAGTTGGTTTTCTTGTTTTTTTGTTTACATTTATTTTTGAAATAAAAAGTCGGCATTAAATGCCGACGAAAAGAAAACCATACGCTCGTAATCAATTTCTCTGTAAACTCCAATACCTCTATCCGGACTTCATCGTTAGAAGCATTAGCTTTTTAACAATATTGTTAATTTACATGAATGCAGCTCGATACGATGTTATACGAATACACGCTTTCATGACTTTGATAAACTTTTTAATTATTCGTAGAATAACTCATACTATTATGAATTGCTTTTTTGCAAATACATATCTCGAAAACTAAAGCCGAACATATATGTATAGGAAACAGTTGCTTAGAATATTGATATCTACAACGTATTTCAATATCATCCAAATCGATGAATCGATCGACCTTGATTTTGAATAATTACTAATGTTTTGAATAAAGTGTTCAGAAGTTGATGATCTAAACTTTGGATACGTGTAATATTCATCAGAATAAACAAAACGTATTTGTAAACTTGAATTTAAAATTCAGCAATTTCCCAGTCACAAACAGCTTAATAGCTATTCTATAGTTTTCTTTGGTAGCGGTTGCAGAGCCAATTATTATTACCCTTGAACGAGATCAATTAATAATATTTTGAAGACTTTGTTTAGTATTTGTTAAGAAACAACAAACAGGTATTTTTACATGAGTGAATCTTTTCAACATTATTTTGAATATGATTCATAAATCTTATAGTTTTCGTAGTCGACACCTTTGTTATTATTTTATCTTAAAAAGTACTATTTCCTTTGTCTCTTATTGGATGAATATTATGTAATTTATTTCTAAACTTAAAAATCGTTTCAGTAGTTAACACATCAAGAAAAAAAAATTGTAATATTTGACACTTTTATTTAAATACTAGGCGCTTTGGAATAACACTCAGAAAGTAAGAAGTGTTATATATTTTGTATTAATTTTTAAATTTTATGAATTAAAGGTTAAATGATAACAGAAGTAATTTATGTCTTAATTTAAAACATTAATACATAAAGATTTTAAACAAATAAAATTCTATTTCTTTCCATTATGAAGTTTTTACTTGCAGTGCCATAAGTTGATAGTTGATGGCAAGATTTATTCCCAAGATTTTTATTAATAATAACACCGCTAATAACGGTAAATTGTACTGTCGACTATTGATGCAATTACTTTACTCAAAGCTTAGACTTAGACTAAATATTATGCAAATCTGACTAAAAGAAAAATAGAAAAAAATGTGCTCTAAGTTGATAAATTTATGACATTTTATAGGATGTCCAAGAAGATATTCTCGCAGGTTCTCGGCTAAAGAATAATAACATGATAAGCAAAACGAGTGTCGCGGAGAAACGATTTTTCATCGAGAGATTAAATAGATCAAATCTGCCTCAGTGATGCTTTCGAAGGATTTATGTCGGTGTCCTGATCGTGTTCGCTGATCCAGAGATAGCACTCTTGATTTACTCGTACTTTTCGATTTGCGTAAATGTGTACCAAATTGCCTTTCATCGCGAAGAGCGAAACGTTAACATGAAACGCTTATGATTTTGTACGATGAATAAAAATGGTAAAATAACGCAACAGAAAAAGAAATATCGTCTGTGAACTGAAGTGACAAATTTCACGATAGATTAACAAGTAAAAACTAATGATTGAATAAATTTTTATCTACACAGATACGAATTTCGAATAACGAATAAGAAATTAACAACTTATAATAAAAATGAAAATATCAATGATTGAATGAGATATTTTACAACGAATAAATACAAATTGTAAGTACGTTGGGTCTTATTGGTTACTTGTTATTTGTATAAAGTTTTGCTGGTAAAAACATAAATAAACTAATATAATACGAGTGTAAAAAGAATTGTATCTTGGCTACTGTTTTGGATATTTGACACACTTATCACTCAATATAAAGTTGCAGCAGAATTCATAAAAGAAGAATTATTTAACATTAGATAATTTCTATGAACTTGGAATATATTTTATAAATATAATCTTCTGAAGCATCATTTTTATTCAAACGTTTCCAAACCTTGTTTTGAATCTTCTTCAATAAAGATACAAATATTCACAACTGAGAACAAAAAAAATAATAGATGAAATTAAATTAAAAGACTGAAAAAATAAATTTTTTCCCATTCTGTTCAAGTTCCCAATTTTTAACTTTTCTGTTTTCTTAACTTTATTTAAGAAGACTGTTTCTGCAAAATACTTTTTAAAAATATATTAAGACATAATCCAACAAAATTCACAAAAACAGATATAAAAATCAGTATGCTTATAGATTGTTGGTATTTAATTATTCAAATACGTCATTAGAAACCATCTTTGCTCCTTAATAATAAATCAAAATTTAACACAATTAGACCTCAAGAATTCTTCTTAAAAGTTCCAGGAGAACAATCATCAATATATTTAATCAGTTCAACATTTTAAAATTTCAAAAAGAAGGTAATTATAATAAAATGAAAATGTCAATAATTGACGTTTAGTCCAGTTAATGTTGACTCAGTAAATCTTGTTCTAAAAAATAATAAACAAACTAAAAGAATATTTTGAATCAGAAACAATGCAAATCATGCACTGATGTAACAAGAGCATTATCGTTGCATAAAAAAATCAACTGAAATAGTTTTTAAAAATAATCGTTTCTGAAGTCAGCAACAATTGTGCATTTATTGAACCACGCTTGTATTGAACAAATAACTATGAAAATGGATTTTTATTCCCGACAATTGTGAAGATTTCGTTAAGGATGTAAGAGACGGGATTTTTCTGCGGACTCGTAACATTTTGCAGATATAATAATGTACAACGGTGTTCTATTGCGATACACTGAGCGTGTTTGCTCGTTGTCGGTGCTAATGGGGGAATTGTAGCGTGGTGTGATTTTATATTTGCTGTTTCCTGCAGCGGGAAATGGGGTTGCTCTCGTATCGAGTCGAGTCACTTTGTCGGACTTTCCGGTACGGTCAAGCTTCATTTTATAACGTGTTACTTTAATTTCGCCTGTTTTATTTCTTAACTTAATTACACTGGCTCGTGTAAACATATATTGAGATACTACAGCTGAAATTTACAGATCTCTACCAAAGATACTTAATTTCAAGAACTAATATAGACTGTAACTCTCTAGTTCTAGCTCTTTGATACTTTCCGGAGTAGTATAGTAATTTATATTGTCGTTTGTAATTTAGAGAAACGTAGAAGGACTCTTTTTGAATAAAGAGCATGAAACATGAAAAGAACACGATGCCTATAGAGTGATACTTGGTTACCAATTGGAAGGATTTTCATTTCTTCATTTCATTTATTTTCAAATAATGTAGGCTCCCACAAGGTTCGTGGAGCCGTTTTATTGAGGAAATAGACAGTTCAATACTATTTACCAATACTTGAATTTATTTACAATATGTACATATGTGTTAACAGTTTTTCAATGTTCTTGGTTCAATTTTAATCCTTAGTTCGATTCTAATTTGCAAAGGTTCTTGAGGTATTCTAACTGTTCTGAATGTTCTACTGTTCTGAATGTTCTACTGTTCTGAATGTTTTGAATGTTCTAATTGAAGAGTCCTATGCCCCGCGAATATATAAGGATTCCCAAATAGGTGGAGACATTTGGTATCCAATCAAGCCCCTGTCCATCCCTCGTGGGCCAGTCCTCAGATATTCGAAATCCCGCCCACTAAGGGTGGTACAGGGGTGGATGTCCGCGGTCCCAAGAGGCAGGTATGGTCCCAAGGTACGGTGCTTAACGGCTTAATAGTACGGCAATTTGCTTTGTACCCTAAGGTACTTGCCAAATTGCTACTCAAGTAATTTAACTAATTTTAACTAAATAAGGGGTCCGCTGCTAAGTGTTGGAATTCCCAACATTCCGCCCACCTTGAACTGCTCGCATGTTCAACTACAATGTACGATATGCAATACAATTATTTGAGTTGGCTAATAATCAATTGACGTGAATCTATCCAGATACGTCAGTACTTAAATTAAAGGTTACATAATTATAATAATAGAGTTCTATGATTATACAATTAAATACATCTATAGAGATATGTGCGTGTACAGTACTAAATATTAAAATGCAATAGAACTCTATTCTTGTCCCGGTACTGTTTCGTTATCAGTGTCTATAGGTAAGATACAAATTTTTGTTACTGGGCGTTTTACAATCCCATCGGAGACCTTAACTGATACGACTCTTGTAATCGTATCTTTCCCTGGATGAAGTTCGGTGATCCGTCCCATTCTCCATTTCAGTGGTGGACAATTATCCTCCTTCACAACAACCAATGTCCCTGGTGCGAGCGGAGAGGGGGATGCTGTCTGCCACTTGGTCCGTTGTTGTAATTGGTGGAGATATTCTGTGTTCCATCGTTGCCAAAAATGCTGTAACATTCTTTGAATGTGCTGGTAGCGATTAAGTCGATTTTCTGGGATGTGTCGAATATCAGGGCCAGGGAGCGCATTCAACGTGTCACCAATAAGGAAATGTCCAGGTGTCAATGGAGATAAATCAGTAGGATCGTCGGATAAAGGATATAGGGGTCGGGAGTTCAAACATGCCTCTACTTGTGTTAACAGCGTATACAATTCTTCGTACGTAAGTTTCGTATCACCGATAACGCGCTTCAAATGGAATTTCGTGGCCTTTACTGCTCCTTCCCATAATCCACCAAAATGAGGAGCGCGAGGCGGAATTAAGTGCCATTCAATTTGATTATCACTTAAAAATTTGGTTACCCGTTCATTGTGTTTACTGTCCCTTAAAAGTGTGCCTAATTCGAGAAGTTCGTTGCGCGCGCCGATGAAATTGGTTCCATTGTCGGAGTATAGACTGCGGCATAGTCCTCGGCGGGAAATAAATCGTCGCAAGACATTTAAGAATGCATCGGTACTTAAATCTATAGCTAGCTCTAAATGAATTGCCTTTGTCACGAAACAGACAAAAATACACAAGTAGGCCTTCGATGTGACCCTCGTACGTATTTTTTCCTTTATGAATACCGGGCCTGCATAATCCACGCCGCATACAGAAAATGGGCGCGTTGGGATAATTCGTACGGCAGGTAAATTCCCCATCAGGTATTCTTGAGTCACGGGTTTAGTCCTGAAGCATCGAACGCAATTTCGTATTGTGTTTTTTATAAGAATTTTACCTGAAAGCGGCCAATATCGTCTGCGTAACGACGATAGAGTCGCTTGACAGCCTGCGTGCAATAACCTTAAATGTTCATGTGCGACTAGAAGTTTTGTAAGATGATGTTTCGATGGCAGTATGACGGGATGTCGTTGATTAAAGGGAAGCTGGGCTTCTTTCAATCTACCGCCCACCCTGATCAGTCCAGTTTCATCGAGAAATGGATTCAAAGATCGTAGTGTACTGGATTTTGGGAGCGCTTGCCCAGTCCTTAATTTCTTAAGTTCCTCCAGAAAACAATCTGATTGTGTAATTTGAAGAAGACGGATTTCGATATCGTTCAATTCCTTTACTGAAAGGTAACCCGTGTGTACACTGGTAGTATCTTCTGACCTATTCACTACCTTGATGCGATTATGAATACGGATTCTTACGTTTTTTACAAACCGTAGACAATATGTGATCGTGCGTAGGAGTCGCGTGAATGACGAAAATCGTTCGAATAAATGTTCCTTTTTTACTGCAATGAATGCACACTGTACTTCGTTAACGTCTGGTGTTTCAGTTGTATGTGGTTCTATTGCTGGCCAGGTAGCTGTGTCCCTTTCTAGCCATGAAGGTCCGTTCCACCAAAGGGTTGCCGAAACAAGTGACGAAGGGTTGACTCCACGCGATATGATGTCCGCAGGATTTTCCTTTGATTGCACATACATCCAAATTCCGCGAGATAGTTCCTGGATTTCAGACGTCCTGTTGGCCACGAATGTCTTCCATTTACTGGGTGATGATTTGAGCCATGCAAGCGTGATCGTAGAATCACACCAGTAGTACTCGTCGCAGGATAATCGTAACGCTTGCCGCACCTTTCTTGTAAGTCGTGCCAGCAGTACTGCTCCACATAGTTCTAATCTTGGGAGAGTGATTACCTTTAATGGAGCTACGCGTGATTTTGCACATATTAACTTAGTGGTCCATTGTCCGTTGTTGAACGTCCGCAGATAAAGACAGGCTCCGTAGGCCTTCTGGGACGCGTCACAAAACCCATGCAATTCAATTTTCTCAGCTTCTGCAGCTAATACATGACGAGGAATAATAATGTTATTTATTGACCCAAGCTCCTCGCGAAATGTTGTCCATCGTGAATGGAGATGTTGGGGCAATGATTCATCCCAGGAAACTTGTAGCTGCCATAGTTCTTGTAATAATATTTTGGCTTGAATAGTAGCTGGCCCAATCAGTCCGAGGGGGTCAAAAATCTGGGAAATGTCCGATAATATTGTTCGTTTTGTGACACGATGTTCAAATGGTTTTTGCACTAAGAATCGCAGTATGTCCATCTGCGATTCCCAGAGAAGTCCGAGCGTTTTTATCTCCTTGTCGGATGTAATGTGTACGTGGGATTGTATTCCATCCGATGGATTCAAAATACGCGACTCGTTCGTTGCCCATTTCCGGAGTTCAAAACCCGATGTTGCCAGGATAGATGATACGTCATTTTTTAATTTGATCGCTTCTTCTAAACAGTCCGTGCCAGTCAAAAGATCGTCTACGTAGAAATCTTCCAAGATTATACGACTGGCGGCTGGAGAATCTTCTGCATAAATTTCTCCAATGCATTGCAAGGTTCTGGTCGCCAGGAAAGGTGCGGATGTTGTCCCATACGTCACAGTATTTAATTCATACGTTTTAATTGGCAAGGTACTATTTTCTCGCCATACTATTTTTTGGAAGCGACGATCTTCCTTACGTACTCGTATTTGGCGATACATTTTCGCGATATCTGCTGACAGAACATACCGATGTTTGCGGAAACGTAATACAATCGACAGTAGATCCTCTTGTACCACTGGCCCAGCCATCTGTACATCGTTCAGGGATAGTCCAGATGTAGTTTTTGCGGATCCATCAAAAACTACGCGCAATTTTGTGGTGCTGCTGCTCTCCTTTATGATGGCGTGATGCGGTAAATAGAATCCATCTTCACGTTGCTCCTCGTTTAGTTCCGTCATGTGTCCAAGTTCTTCATATTCCCTCATAAAGGCAATATATTCTTGTTGAATCTGCGGTTGTTTGGTCAACCTTCGTTCCAATGCAAGTAGTCGGCGTTCTGCTTGTTGTCTCGAATGTCCTAGTCCGTTGATCTCTTCCTTGAAGGGAATTGCAACCACGTGTCGTCCGTCGTTATCCCGAGTTGAAGTTGACAGGAAATGTTTCTCGCAATAATGATTTTTGTCGATGAGACGTCCTTCATCAATACATTGTTCAATTTTCCAGAAATCCGCTACTTGATTATGTAACTGTTGATTCGTTACAACATGGCACGTGGTTCGTGTTTGTGTTGTAAGATGTGCGCGAGTCATATTACCAATGATAATCCACCCGAGCTGTGTCTTTTGTAATGATGGGTAGTTCGGTCCTAAAGAGTGGCGTCCGATGCACAATAGGTCCCAAAACATACCTGCTCCGATAATCATATCGATTTCCCCGGGTTGATGGAAATGGGGGTCCGCGAGCATGATATGTGCAGGAATCGGTAAATCAGATAAGTCGATGTGTGTGCTTGGAATATTTCCGGTTATTTTCGGTAATAATAGACATGAAATTGATGTGGTGAATCCATTGAATCTTGATGTTAATTTTACGCATGATTGATATTGTAAGTTACGTGCTAAATTTCCTATTCCCGAAACTCTAATGTTCGTTGTACTACACGGAAGTCCTAGTTTTTTAATCAGCGCGTCAGTGATGAAGTGAGACTGAGATCCTGAGTCTAACAATACTCGACATTTCTGCCTATGTCCCTTACAATCAGTTATATATACTACCGCAGTGGATAACATTGTACAATTGTCCCTTGAATGTGAAATGTACGTATGTGAAGTGATTTGTTCTTTAGGACGGTTCGTGTCAGTGTCCGTATTTACATTTTGTGTTTGTTTGTGCGAGAGTGAAACATTGGTCGATACTGATGGTTTATGTGCACCACTGTCTAAATGTAAGAGGGTGTGATGCCTTTTTGAGCATTTCCTACATCCTCCACGCGTACATTCCATATTTCTATGTCCTTGTTGGAGACAATTAAAGCATGCACGCAATTCCTGAATCCTCGAAATACGGTCGCCCGGAGATAATTTTAAAAACTGAGTGCAATTATACAACGGGTGCTCAGCCTTGCAAAGTATACATTCTGTCCGCGTGTTCGCAACGTGTGCTGCTACATTCTTGAACCGAGTGTTTCGTGTTTCATTAATTATTGCAATCTTATTCGACGGTACTACCTTGGCCTTTGCAGTTTTTTCAAGGTATTTACAATGCTTCTCTAAAAAGTCGGTCATATCCCGCAATGTAACATCACTCGCAATGTTCGATTGTTTTTGTTCCCACTCACGTATCGTTACAGTGTCTAACTTCGTCGTTAATAAATATATAATTAGACTATCCCAATGTTCTGTTGGTTCTCCTAATGCATTAAGTGCGAGTAAACTATTTTTCATATCATCGAGTAACCGCCGAAGTCCCGAGTAAGATTCTTTCGTTAATACAGGCAAGTCCCATAATGTACGGATGTGGTCGTGCTTGATTGTATTGCGATCCTCGAATCTGTCCTTTAACGCTTTCCATGCAAGACCGTAATTTAATTCAGAAACTCCTAACGATTGTATTACGCGAGCTGCGTCGCCCTTTAACGAGGAATTTAAATAATGAAATTTTTCAATATTACCTAGAGCTTTATTGTTATGGATTAATGATTCGAATGTGTCCTTGAATTTTAACCACAAACTGTACGTCCCATCGAACGTAGGTAATTCTATCGTAGGCAATTTGACACGAAATTGAGGTTCAGTTCCCGAAGACGAGGTACTTTGTTTTGACATGTTCGTGTGCGCAAAATTTTGTACTCGCGTTTGTGCAATATAATCCTTTGCTGCGGCAACTATATTACAATACGAAGTTTCAAATGATTCTCGTTCGTTCGCGTTCTTTTCTTCGAGATCGGTTCCTTCTACGATATCTTCTATTAACGATTGTATCCCATCAAATTTTTCATACAATTGCGAAATTTTTCCCAAATGAATTTCCAGTGCTGTTACCGAAGTTGAGCGGTCGTATGATTCAAAAAATTTCTTAAAACGAGTCAAGGCAGTCTTCACCTTCGTACGGTCCGAAATGTGCGTTTTCAAGATTGGGTCCATAATTGCTACTGTTAACACAATTCGAGAAATGCAAGAATGACTTACGGATTAGATGAGTAAATAAGGAGGTGATCAGTGAATGCTTCCCAGATCAGCTTCCTCGATGTCCGTTGTGGATTCTGCAACGCCGTTCCAAGTCCTGTAGTCCGTCAGGGCCTAGCGTCTCTCAAATGGATCAGCGTCGGCTACGTGGAAGTCGAAAGCGTAGAATTCCTTGATGTCCGTCCGTGGTGTTTCGATACAAACACGATGTCCTTATTGTTCGATTTATCGTCCACAATTGTTCACAAATACTGTACACATTAAACACTGTATCCGGCTCGAAGGACCATATGTAGGCTCCCACAAGGTTCGTGGAGCCGTTTTATTGAGGAAATAGACAGTTCAATACTATTTACCAATACTTGAATTTATTTACAATATGTACATATGTGTTAACAGTTTTTCAATGTTCTTGGTTCAATTTTAATCCTTAGTTCGATTCTAATTTGCAAAGGTTCTTGAGGTATTCTAACTGTTCTGAATGTTCTACTGTTCTGAATGTTCTACTGTTCTGAATGTTCTGAATGTTCTAATTGAAGAGTCCTATGCCCCGCGAATATATAAGGATTCCCAAATAGGTGGAGACATTTGGTATCCAATCAAGCCCCTGTCCATCCCTCGTGGGCCAGTCCTCAGATATTCGAAATCCCGCCCACTAAGGGTGGTACAGGGGTGGATGTCCGCGGTCCCAAGAGGCAGGTATGGTCCCAAGGTACGGTGCTTAACGGCTTAATAGTACGGCAATTTGCTTTGTACCCTAAGGTACTTGCCAAATTGCTACTCAAGTAATTTAACTAATTTTAACTAAATAAGGGGTCCGCTGCTAAGTGTTGGAATTCCCAACAAATAACGAATATAAATTTTTATTTAATTCGCAAAACTAGTTTTTGTTTACGTTTAATTCCTAAATTAGAATCCGTTAACTTTTTGAAAAAGCTGGTTTATGAATGAATCTAAAATTTTAAACGCTATTTAATAATGAAAATATTTGAGATCCCCATTTTACGTGTATCTGAATCATGTACACGTGTAGTTTATATGTCTGTATTCAAATTCGCGTACTGTTTAATTTGAATATACTATTTGAGTATAGGTATTGAAATACACGAGTACTAAAAGTAAAATAAAATGAATTTATTCGTTTTTCGTACATTTACACGGATCTGTTGCAAGCAATTACGCGTTGGCAGCCATTGATTTTCTTTACTTTGAAAATAAAATTAAGTACTGAATTTCATTCATTCGACATCTTGACATATACAAGAGTAACGAATAATAGTGAACGAATAACAAATAATGAATAAACAAATAAGTTTTCTTCCGGTATTCCTTATTTGAATAAAGATTTATTCTTACATCCAACACTAACGGGTACACGTGTAATTCATTTAAAACCCAATTATGTAGGTGATGCATAGAAAAATAAATTAAACACTTAAGAAGCGTGTTTTATACTTAAATTCTTTTTTCCATAATCCAAAAATATAAATTACTTTTATGTTTTTCGAGATCGATTGTACGATTTTGTTCTTCTGTAGTCATCAATGTTGCATCGAATAAAACTTAATATACTGAACTTGTAGTCTTACGATATTATACAGGAAAAAAGGAAATCATTCTCAGTGACAAATAAATAAAAAATGTAGAATAACATTTTTTCGCAGAATGCTCCGTTTTCAAGATTAGGTGAGAAAATTTATCTGGCGTGTCTGTCCATTACGCGCTGTTTCTACTTGTGATGACGACGGTCAAGTTACGCTCTACTGCACGGGAACCCAGTAAATTTTCAAAGTGGATTTTCTCAAGAACAAAGCCTCGTACGTGAAAAATGTTATTCTACACTCTCAACTTGCTTTTTTTGCAGAATTACTCCTTTGCCGGTTGTACCTATGTTAACTGGGACAATTTAAATATATCACAGCCTTTATACAACAACAGAATCAAGAGAGAAAATTAAGAATCAGAGATAAAATTGTAGGCTAATAAAAAATAGACAAGAAAATTGTCTTATCATATAAAGAGGGTTTATTTGCACGAGTATTATGAGAACTGCTTATAAGAAATTAGCATAACATTTGAAGTTTTATTCTATATCTTCAATAACATTTCCTAACAATCTCAGATTAAAGAATTCTATGTTTTAAAGCTTTTTGGTCCATCTTTTTCACTCCACTCTCTTTAACAGTTTTCTCTGTTATTACACAACATTTGAAATTTTGTCATAATTAAGAATGGCGTCTGTTGATTTCTAAAGATCCAAGCAATACAAATACGAAAATTTTCAGTTTCACAGTTCAAGGCATGTATGATATAATCTCCAAAACAGACGTACTATTCTTAAGTCCTAATTGTGGGAGGAATTTGGTAGTCAAATTAAATGAGCCTCTTTCTGTTTAACAAATTAACGTATATATATTTTTCACAATGTTCTCTCCACGTGTGCATCACACTCTCTCGATACATGGGACTTCCGCGCGTTCCACTCTCGCGCCCCAGCGTTGCCAACATCCACACTCATTCATTCCCCACTCACTCACCAGGCATACCATACAATAAAAATAACCCCACACTAATTTCTCCACCCAGAATATTTGGTGGGTACGCTCCGAGCTTCTGGACGATTTCCTCGAATTTCCTAAAACTCGATTCGCTACAACGAATCAAAAAGAAACTCCAAGCCTGCCAACTTCAAATTAGAATTTAGACATTTCCTATCTATAAATGCAAGTATTACAGTTTATTCACTCATTTATATCTATTGTTAAAAATATCCACATAAGTTATTATAATAGTAAGTATGTCATTTCTTAGAAAATATCGTAGAAAAAAGTTTTAAATCTATAAAATATAGTCCAATTTGATTTTTACCGTATTAAAAAATGATGAAAATTATCAAGGTTTAGTAATTGACCTTCTTGTATTATAGTATCTTCTTTTTTATAATATTCAGTTTTATTATTATTGTCATTTTTCCTTCTTCTTTTTGTCATTGTTACTATGGTATCACTGCTGCGTTATACATATATTAACGCGTTACACAAGAAATTCTTTTGCATAATCTTCTGCATTCTGCTTAAAATATTTAAATAAAAATAAGCGAAATACTGGTAGACTGCTAAAAATGCATAAAACATGTTACGACACCCACAGGACATGAATTTATGCAAAAAAAAACTAATTTTCGTATTTTAAATCGTGAATTTGAAAAATATCTGAGCGTTAAAAGTATTTTTAAACCGATATATCTATTCGGCGGGTCGTGCAGTTCAACGGTTTCTTGCAAATTTACGGTTCTCCAGTTCAGGAGATTAATAAATATAACAGCCTACTATGGGCCGTAAAATCAATTGGCAAATCGGTGCTTGTTGTCCTTCATGGGTCAGTCCTCCCCAAAGGCGAATTTACGCCCACCTAGTTGCGTACTGAGGTAGTCGACCGCGAAGTAGAGGGCGCGAGTGGTTGTTGAGCCCAAGGTACCGTTGAACAAAAGCCTAATTGAAGGTACACGGCGCACAGTTCACGATACACCAATTTCCATTGTTGACGGGAGAAGCGTTAAAACGCTAGAGGTGCACGTGGTCGCCAAATGTGCAGAAATTTCATAACAATAAAGCAACTTCGGGATCAGAAATGGTAGCACCTTATCTGATGAAACGTTCTTGCAAAATAAAGTCCCCCAAGGATCTGTATAGAATGTTCTATTATTTTTCCCGCCTATATCGAAGAGTACATGTATGAACTTCGTAAATTATATTGCAAAATACGATAAATAATCTCCAGAACTGAATAAGTAAAATCAGATTCAAATTCTCCGGGACAAAAGCTTTTATTATATTTAGTAGGTAACATTACCCCGCCAAAATTAAGCTGTACCTTGACAATTTGATGCTGGGGCAGACAAATTCACTAAAAGTATTAGGGTTGGAATTTGACAATATGTGCACATGGTATAATCACATCAGTAGTCTCCAAAATGAATGTAAATAAATGTTTAAATGTACTAAAAACGATAATTCGATAATTAGATCGAAAATAGAGTCTAGATAAATCATATACAATTCTGCAAACAAATCAATAATAAGTAAACTTAGAAAGGTTAAAATCATATGAATACTCGGTTATACTAATTTACCGAGGAATGTAAAAGCAGATAAGGCAGCTAAACGAACAGCAAATTCAACAGTTCACCTATGGAGGATCTAATTAGGAAAGCAGAAGGACACCTGACGTACTTGTGGGATTTAGAATCGAGACAATTAGCTTACATCCACTTAAAAGCCATTTGCAACTTCTTTCTTGCTAAAGATAAAATAGGCAAGAAGTTGTAAAAAAGAGATCAGGTCGTCATTACTCGAGGCTACACCAAATGCACTTGTGCATTCTTATCAATGAAAGACGAGGTTTTAATTTAAGAAAAATGTAATGTACCAATTTCGATAAACCATCTCATGTTAACATGTCTAAAATATAATGCACTTCGTGAAAGATACGAAATAGGGAGTACACTAATGCCGGGAATACACAGGGGCGAACAGTTTGCGAGCAGCACGCGAGCAGCTCATAAACTGATGAAAAATAAATATATTTCGCATTGTGTTATTCTTCATTCGCTGTTCTTTCCTACATTTGGCAAGATACAAAGCCAAACGCTATAGGTCGGCTTGTACCTTTCTGGAAACTGAAAATTAAACATACTTTTATAATTGCAAGACTTCGGTATCAATGAATAAAGACAGAACTATCCGTCTTCTGTCTCATCTCGTTGGACAAGGTGATCTTCATCATTCGTGCGATTTTGCGTCAAAACCTCTATCTATTTATTACTATATACAATTTATGTTGGTACTGTGTTTGAACTGTTAGAATTTAAATTAATTATAAATGATTCGGTTAATATATCAATATTATGGTCCAATTATCAAAATTTGTGTTTGATAACTTGAACAACATGTTCAACA